ACTGCAGGGGGGTCTCCCAGAGCTGGCAGAGGGGCAGGATCCCCTCCCTGCCCTGTGCCCACCCTGCTGGGGGGACTCCTGCCCAGCTCCTCACCCCCAGCACCCCCAAGAACTCTTCCAGGGCTGTTCCCCAGCCCCTCACCCCCAGCCTGAGCTGACACCAGGGGGTTGCCCCCCTGCAGGACCCTGCCCTTGGCCTGGCTGAACCCCCTGAGGCTGAGCTCTGTTTCCTTTGCTGCAGAACTGCTCTGCTCTGCAGTGTTTCCTCCCCTGGAAGGTGTCTCACCCTGCTCCTGCTGTAGGTAACAGGTTTTTTTTGTGGTCTGCTCACTTCACAGCTCCCCTGAGTGCTGTGACTCAGCTGATGCTGAACCCAAACCCTGCCCAGTCCTGGGACTTTCCAGAGTGCTCTCCCACGCTGTGCCAGAGCAAAGCCACCTCCCTACCTGCCAGGGGGGAGGCTGCAGGGCCATTGTCATCCCTGGGGCCACTGTTTCTGGTGGAGCCTCTTGCCTGCTAAGCCCCAAGGGGCCTCATGTCCACTACAGGGACATGCAGGACAAACTCTTTGTTTTGGCCACTCTTGCCAGTACCACCACCCTTCTGTGAGTGGGCTCTGGACCCCACCCACTGCAGCCTCCTCTCTCTCTTGCAACATCCATGGCAAAGCAACAAGGATGTGTTTTTAAAGCCCCCATTCCAACTAAGAACCTGTCCCTGCTCAGCTGCCAGGCTCAGCACTGTCCTCCTGGGCCCTGGTTTCCACACCTGCCCCTTTGCAACGCTGTGGGTAGAACATACTCATCCTTTCACCCCTGCTGCCCTCTCAGCCTGGTCACCATCACTTCTGGCCTGGCCTTGTTGCTCTGCCCCAGCCATGGTCTCCTCTTGGACCCCTTGGTGTGGGTGGTGGGAGGGTGTTGAGAAGGTCCCTGGGGGAGCTGGGGGCTTCTTGGTGCTGCACGTTGGTCCTGCAGCCCCCTGCCCCTGCTCCAGCTGGCACCTT